CGTTAAACGTTGATTTTATATAACGGGTGGGCCAGAGTAAATGACTCTCTTAGTATTTTAGAGATTTCTCACTTATTTTTTCTTACGATTAAGAAATTTTTTTAACCAAAAGATGGAGCTTGAAATTCTCTACAAAACCATATACTTTTAAAATGAAAACCTACTTCAAAAATATTTGAAAAAAGATGAAAAATAAAAACATACAAAATGCTCTACTTTCAGACTGATTAGGCACAATGAATGGCTATACTTTGTACTCCGGATTTTCATTACTTACTTCATTGCACTAAAAAAACGAAACATGTGAAAAGATACAGCGTGAAAGCTGTACAATTTACATAAGACCGATTATTTAATAATTGCACTTTTCGTTCTCAAAATAGACATAACTTTGAGCAATCAGATTTTGACCGCATGGAAATGAATTTTTTTAAAGTGCATGATGAATTTAGTTTTTTTCCCATCTTATTTTCTTGTGATTGTTCTTGGTAAATTGTAGAGCTTTTCGCGCTGTATCTTTTCGTATTGTTCGTATTTTTAATATGGTGAAGTGATAAAAATTACATGCAAAGTATGATCATTCATTGTGCCTAACTAGTTTGAAAGTAGAGCATTTTGTATGTTTTTATTTTTCATCTTTTTTCAAATATTTTTGAAGTAGGTTTTCATTTTAAAAGTATATGGTTTTGTAGAGAATTTCAAGCTCCATCTTTTGGTTAAAAAAATTTCTTAATCGTAAGAAAAAATAAGTGAGAAATCTCTAAAATACTAAGAGTCATTTATTCTGGTCCACCTGTTAGTTATACCAGGTACGCTTAAACTAACACTTACGTGTCCAGTTTTCTTAAAGATTTTAATTTATCTCGAGAATTTCTTTGATGAAAATAATGTCTGGAAGCAAATAATACAGATTGACGTTGTTGTCTTGCACCAAATAATAATCTTGAAGATGATTTCATCATATTCAATCTTAACAAAAAAAAAGGATATTATTCTTCACAACATCTATGTTTCGTAACCATCCCATAGTTTACATGTCATTCGTATATTTCTGAATCTCATTTTATTTCAATACAGATGAAATTGTAATGGAATAGATGTGAGTAAATATTTTCATTGAATAAAAGTGATATACGCATTTCATAGAGCCATTGTATATACGTTGTCATAGACGAACAAAAAAGAGCCAAGCTTCTTTTTTCTTCAAAGTCAGAACTTCTGACTCAGTATCATTATAATAATGTGAATATGACAAGAAAGACTAACGTTATGGTCAAGGTGAAACTAATGAATACTATCATGAAAACAACTGCGTACCTGCCAGTTTCTACGTATATACCCATATCAAACAATCACCTTATTTCTCTATTGGTTATAGAGAAGACTCAAGCAGATCCTATAAAGCTAACAATGGAGATGCGTCGAGTGATCAAAACTTGAAAAGACATTTTTTTTCATTATCTTCAAATTTCGATCCTTCTGGAACATGATCCTAGTGCGAGTTTTTTTCTACTTCTTGGACACATTTAGATCACTTAAAGGCTATCAAAAATCTGACTATTCGAAGAGAAGAAACTAGTCGGAGAACGTTTCGATAGTTTGACAGCATTTTGATCAGTTGAAGTTTATCAAAATGTCAAGTGCTTGGCGAGAAAAAATAGTTTCGTTAGCTTATTTTAACTTCAATCGCTAAAACCTTCGAAATTTGATTTTCGAATGTCTATTTGCTTTTATTCCATGATTTCATTGAAAGATTGTTGTTTGCTAAATGCTTTAAATTTAGTCAGATAGTCTTCCTTAAAAAACTAAAAGAAAGAAAAAAGGTTGATTTTATTGATAAATATCATGAAACTTAATACAAGTTGAATATTTTTATTCATTACAAACAGATTGTCAATGTGGTATGACAATTAGGATTATCAATTTGAGAAAAGGGGTGATATTCGGTAAATGATTAATTTAGGGTAAAGTTTTCGAGAATAAGCAACGAAAAAAAAGAAATGCTCACCAGATAAAATAAAATCGATGTTAACGATCAATATAAAAAGTTCACTTGACCCTTTAATAAGAATATTGAATGCATCAAGAAAGAAAAAAGAAATTTTTTTCTAACATCGATAGTCGACAACTCTTTTTTTCTTTCTGCCGCATATATTTTTTCTTCTTTCGTCACCGTAAATATAGACGGAAGGGGCCATCGATTGTGTTTCTTTTCTTTGTCAGACAATCAGAAAATATATTTCAAAATATTTTCTAAAAAGTGTCACATTCATTTTACGATTTTCATGTAAAACTTTCAATAGAATTAACCATATGCGATATATTTTTCAAATTATACGGAATGATATGAATCCTTTCTGATTTCTTTGATAATAATAACTATCTGCTTCTTCATTGAATGTGAGCTGAATATTTTTTTCAGCACATTCGCTTTTCATGCAAGAAATAAAAATCTTCTAAATTGTTTGAATGTTTCAGATAATTGGACATGGCAATCATTTATACTTCTCGCAATTCTCGACGATTACGCTCGAGAATATTCAAAATGGAATTAAACAAATTTCATCAGCGTTTTATTACAACTCATCGTATAAAATTATCTCGCAAACCCATATCGAAGTAAGAATAATACATTTCTCTTCTTTATTAATCCTATACGGTTCCAAAAAAGATAAAGACAATAGAATTGAAACCTTTATCACAACACCAAGATAAATAGATGAATTACTACACAGTTCATATGTTGCAAGTTTAGACAGATTTTCATAGCAAGGAAAGGCTATTAGCGCGATCCCTGTGGGTATAGATCATCGACTCGAAAATATTTGGACCCGGATCCGACGGATTCAAGTGTGAAACATTTTATAATCGCTGTTCACAAGAGAGAAATATTTAAGAAGGCAGTCCGAGTTAACAGTTTAATTTAACCGATAAAATGACATTAATGCTACCATACTACTTTTTAATTTCCTTACTAACGTCTAGCTACACATTTAATAATTCGCACAAATATAGTACGTTTTGCTTCCAAAGCTGTGCCTCTTATGGTCTGTGAGAGTGAGAGTCCAATTTTTTCGGTATCTGCTTCAGCCCGCCTTTTGGTTCGGCTTTCACAAAATTATTGTGGAAAGAACGGTATGGTGTTATGGTTTGTTAGTGTGATGAGGAGATAGAGAATCTATTGAATTTCAACAATATTGTCGAAATACAAGTAGACATTCGATTTTCTAGCCAAATTTTCGCATTGCTAAAATTCTAATGACTAAAATCTAGTTTTCGATATAAGATTTGAACAAAAGAGAGGTTATTCTGTCGACTTTTTGTTCATTGAATAACTCAATGACTATATTTATATTTGTGAATAAAACTTCTTCACCAAACATATTTTTTACTTTTGTTCATTTATTTTTCTTTTGGAAATAATTCTATCCACTAAATGAAATAAAAATTAGATTAACCCTTTAACGGATGAATTTTGAATGATCAAGGTTCTATTGAAAGTGAAAATTAGCGACGGACTTCTTCGAACCTTTCTGTTACAGAAACAGATAAACACTCTAATTGAACTCGAATAGTCAGACATTAATTGCGTCTATGCAGTGTCATCATTCTTCCCATCAAGGTCACTGATCTTTGTTTCTCATAGAGGTGCAATCGAAAATAAAAAAGTGGGACACATTTCTCTCATCGCTCGTTAAAGGGTTAATCAGAAACATATTTCAAAGTTTATAATCAAAAATATTGACTAATCTTTTATATTAAACGAATTCTTGGATATAATTTGACATCGTTTTATTTCAATAAACTAGAAAATATGCATTCTCCACTGAAGCTACTCATCGAGGAGTACTCAATCAATGAATACTCTCTGGATAAGTACTTTCATTAGGATTAGATCTTGACCAAGATACCAGCTACAGAAAAGCGTATAGATCTTGAAAGTTTAAGTGAAGATAATAAGATTATTGTACTAAGATCTGATTACAGATCTTGACTACAGATGCATCTAACACGATTAAGATACAAGAATGTGACATATATTGACCAAGATTGTGACTTAGTAACACTTACTAAGGATTATTTGGCATTGCTTGAAACTAATCTGTGTCGAATTATTCAAGAAAGTATGATCTTCATTGAAAACTCTTTATGAAGCCAACGATTTCGGAGATTTTTGAATTGAATATTGGTATGTAACTTGATTTCTTCTGTTCATAGCAGAAATCTCTCTTCGAATTTATATTTATCGTAAATTTACATCATATAGATTATTTTAGAAGTATTTCGAGCCGTCTATAAATGACTCCTAGTGATCGTTGAGAGACGATGTATGTTTCAGCCAAAATCTTTTGATTTGTCCGTGATCTATTCACAGATCATGGTTGAAGATAATATGGTTATCTTGTACTTAAAATTTGTAGATCTATTCACTTTTTTGTACTTTATATCTTTACCAAAATCTGCGGTTACAAGATGTTCAACTAAAGTATAAGTTACTTGAAAGCCTGGTTTCTAGAGTTATTCAAAAAAATATATAAATATGTATGGTTTAAATATTTTCTGGTATTTCTTTCTGTCTCATTTTCTTATTGTAGGTCAAAAAGAATTTTGTATCGTATATCTGCCTGGATGAATAGATGGAGTTTAGTGCATTCGATAATGATGTCTGTATGCATCTTGACTCAAATGTGGCCATCTTTAGTAAATAGCAGTGTCATCATATTTCAATCAACGTATAAATCAAATAATAAAACATTGATACAACATGAATATTTCAATTGGATGCATTATGGTGAATATATTAACTGAACATTTCAAAGATAATTAATAAAAAGATGATTGAATGCAAGGATTTTTTTCCATGTCTTTTAGATTGGTGTTCGTCGTCATCTCGTTTCCTTAACAATACTAACAGTTATGCAGTTGTAGATAAATCTGTTATCATTCTAGGTGGAAGTTGCTATATAATATTCATTATGGTCCTTGTCTTTTATTTTACTATGTATGAAAAACGGACTAATGATAACAGTTTACATTTTTGGTATGGATTGTTAGTACTTGGTATGTTTGTTGGTTCATCCATCTGCAATCAATGGATTAGTGCACTCACTTGTCGACCAATTGAAATGTTGTATGATAAAAGATTTACATCAATTCTTGGCGTGCAAATGATTAGTTTTATAGCATGCGTCCATGTTGCTTATGGTTTAGGATGTATCTTTACACCACTTTTTGATCAACGTAGAATTACTGTATGCACATTAGATGGTAATACTCCATTATTTCCTTCAGTCGGTAGTACACTTTGATTATAATTTAATGCCATTTCACTATGTAATAAATGTCTTAGTTATCTTTGTGAGAATAAAGGGATTTTGTTGCTATTGAATATTGACTATGATTTAATTATAATTTAGTAATAACTATTCTAAAAGAAACCATGATATTTCAAAGGATGACAAATAGCTTTCGTTGTTTATTTTATGAATTGTCCGAAAGTAAATTCTATTAATTATTGTGTATAAGAGTCACCGCACGAGAGCCACGCCCGATCATGCTCAATCGATGTCGCCAATTTTGGCTGATATTTTTACAGTAGGTAGATACATCTGAGTTAGAAATAAACTGAAAGTTACAATTCAAACGGATGAACCGTTCTGGAGATATAAACGATACAAATATGAGGGGGTGGGTCTCATTTCGAGTACCTTACGGTGCAATACTTTTCAGCAGACTTTCATTTTCTAAGCATCAACAAGAGTTATAACAGAGATTTTTTTACCATAAATATTATTGTTGGTGGACTATCTTTTCGTGGTATTGAAAGTGTCTTATGGTCCAATATTTTTGGGTTAGTATTATAGACCATTTCTAGAAAACATGGCCTCGTTGACAATGCAACTTTATCAAATCAGTGTGATAGAATAACTCGAAGAGGGTGGGGGTGAGGGTGAGTATGTTATAGAAATTGAAAGAGTTCAAAGATTAACAATTATTTTTACCTGTCCACGAAAGTACATACCCGTTACTTAGATATATCCACATAGATATGTCTAAACAAGCACGAACGACTTGTGAAGAAAGATCATTAAATCAGAACAGGAATCGAACCCACATCTTCCGATAACCGGTCGGCTATTCTACCGTTAAACTATCCGATTTTCTCTTCAGCGTAAAAATACACTGGATATCAAAACACCTTAAAGCAAGTAATATGCATCAGGACATTAGTAAAAACGAAGATTATTAATTTGAACTCTTGTTGCTGCACGAGGACTTGGAAATCTCTTTTATACGCTATAAGAATCTTCTGAAATAGCAAAACAGAACTTTTATTCACGATGTTGTGGTAACATCAGAACAGCAGGGTGAGGGGGTGAGTTTACAAGAATAATTCCAAGCTACTTACGACGCATTATCGTCCCTACTTAAGGGACTCGTCAGGTAAGTTCAGAATTAGTAGATTCTGCATAGAATAGAATCTCAATCGAAATGAAAGTTATAAGAGTCAACTGTGTAGAAGACTCTCAACGGCAATCTAATGTTGAGATAGAATTCATAAAGGGTGAGGATGTGAGAATGCGGACAGCTGCCATAATCTATAGATTTCACTGCAACTACGCAGATCATCAGATGGCAAATAATCTATATGATTGAATGAAGAAGTAATCACAAGAACAACAGTATACCGATATTATCATTCTATATTCTTTACTTGAAGATATACAACAGTTATAATTTGATCTTGTGATTATTTCTTCATTTAATCATATAGATTATTTGCCATCTGATGATCTGCATAGCTGCAATGAAATCTATAGATTATGGTAGCTGTTCTCACCCATTTTTATATATCGTCCACAGTGTTTAATGCATTTTTTCTCGCTATTGAGCCCAAAACTTATCGATCATGTGAAACAGTGGAATGAGGGTATGTTTGTTCACACTCACCCAATATTTAAATATTAATAATAATGAAGAATTAGATCGAAATCGTTTATGATTAGAAAAGAATATTTCAGATTCAAGTGGATTTTCATTTCGTACTTTTCTTTTATCGGAAAACAATGTCAATAAAAAATTAATTGAACAAAAATTGAAAATTAATGAAAATATGTTAAAATTCTATTTTGATAGAGAATCATTATGGATTTATAGATAAACATTAATATTTTTAGCATTAAAATTCATAGTTTAAAATATTATTTAAACTTCCAAGAGATATTGCTCGCAGAATATTGGTAATTAATAATTGTGTATTTATTTATCTTTTGTTCGAGAATTTACGTCAACTGACACATCAACGAATTGTATATCATGTGTATAGAACGAAAGAGAAATTTGACTTTTTCGTTGTCGTCAATTGAATGTGTTAATATGACTAATGTACTGTACAGTCTAGTCATCATCTTTGTATATTGGTGATTGTTCGTCAGTATATAAAAGCAGGGAATCAATAATAAAACAAAAAGAATTCACTTTTTGTACAACAGAAACATAACGTTTGATCAGAATATTTTAAATGAACAAAAGAAAAATTGCGATATGCTTCATCGGTATTATTCTTCCAATGATAATTTTTCGTTCATCGGTGGTTTCTTTGAGTTATCATAAGGATGATTTTCTTCCAAAGCACACACGAAACTGTGCACAAATTATGTATCTAGTAGTGACAATATTAGGTGTCTGCGGTCGCAACACCAATATACACTATTTACATGGACGAATCACACTTGATATGATAACTGTTATACCACTTGGTGTTTCTTGTATGCTGATGTTATTATCGTTTGTTCAAAATAGTGTACCTCATTTTATATTAACGATATTCGATATTTTAGCAAACGGTGCAGCAGGTTTATATTTGATCGTCATAATAATACCATATTTATAATCAAATTAAGGTCATTATCTATTTTTCTCTTCTCTTTTTTTCTTCTTTTCGTTTCTGTTGTTATTTCTATTTATCATTAATACAGTCATTTCCTAGCATAAGATTATATACGACACTGTCTCTCCTTACTGCTCATCGAATCGATTATTCAAGTTTATGGCTTTCATTGACTCTTCTAAACAAACAACCTTTGTATAGATTGCTATTATTATACGCACATGTATGTTTATATAGATGATGATTCAGAGGACAAGTGATAATAAGTGTTTTGATGGAAACAGAAATCTAAAACAGACTTATATCTAAGAAAAGAACGAAAAACAAGAACGAAAAATAAAAATGATAAATAAAAGTGAAGAACAAGATGAAAATGAAGTGACGTACAAGAAAGCATAGCAAATAGAGAACAACATTACTTAATAAAAATGTGTTTAATGAATTGCCTTTTTTACTTTGTTTGTTTTGTTGATTTCAGTTTGGTCGATATTTAAACACTTATTTTCTACTCTTAATCTGTCATTTATTCTTTCGGTGGAGTTTAAGATCGAAACAAGATCAGAGACATTTACCAAAATAACCAAAGTGATACCTGTTGTACAATAACTAGCAATTTATGAAGAGTCGAAAAAATTTTATTAAATTGATTAATGAAAAAAATAAAAATAAAAATAAAAATTTCTGTTGTTAATAATGGTAGCAAGATTTCATAATTAAGATATTTTTTCCAGAGTTCAAGGGATATCTACTAAAAAGTATGAAATACTTGCGAAGCCATTGAAATGTTGACTAAATTTTTTCTTTTTATGCTACAGCTAGATTGAACTTTGAAACCACTTTATTGACAATGATTCAATCATTATCTGATGTTACTGTGCCGCCAAGGTAAATATCAATTTGAAGTTCTACACGATCACTATTTGCTTTCGAAATTCAACTTATCATTTGTATTTGCTGTACTAAAAACATACTGAATTGAGGTTTTTTCCGAAAAATTTGATTCCATTTAATTAGTTTAGATATGAAACACCAATTTTTCAATTTTTACTTAATACAAAATGTGAATCATAACTTCGAGTCGTTCTTCAGATCACATTAAAAATCAATATGGAAAATTTTCCAGAGCAGTTGTTGTTGTTCCTGTAATTTAGCGCATTCCTGTGAGGAGACTTTAGATACGTATTTAAGTGGCTGCTTCGATGGCATAGATATTCAGTTGTTACACATTTCAAAAGATACTATGTCTACGTCTACGTGAAGTCGCATTTAAGTTCGACCGTAAGCTATAGTGAAGTTAGAATGGTTGTGTCATACTATTCTGTGAAAATTCTCTTGTATTGGCTTAAGTTTTTGAAAAATTTCTAAAAAGAGACAAGACCATGTGAAAAATTACTATGAAGAATGCTTTCCTCTTACGACTTCTTTGCAATTGTCAGATAAATAGACACCAATATGAACTTCTAGTGTATTGGCCTAATTTAATTCAAAGTTTTGATTTAACTACTAAGTTTAAATTAAGTTGTTATTTATAAATCCTTTCAGGTCGAATATCAAGTGTTCTTCGTGAAATGAATTTCAATTAAGAAGGGTTTGAAATGAGTCACTAAGTTGATCAATTCACTACTGTCCGACAAATCTAGTTTTTTATTTCCAGTGTACAAAGTACTCTTTTGAGTTATTCTAAATGAGAACAATCAATTGTTTTTTGGCAACCACGTGCTTTCTAAATTGTATTATATATTTTTTTTTCCATTTTATTTCTAATTATTCATTGTCTATAGAGAAACTAATTAGAGCAATGTGTTGAGAAAAAAAGAATTCAAATTCTAATCGGTGTTTCTAGATAATGTTTTACTTATATCAGATTGAAATTGTGACAAAAGTTCTCAAGAATATACAGAATCATTTACCGATCAACAGTTAATTTCTCAATACAATTCTAGACAATGACAATTGTTACAGTGCATATCCCTGGATTCTTTATATTCTATATTTTCTCTTCTTTCGTTATGTGTTACATGTATTCTCTGATATCGTATGATATCATCTCTTTTCTGACCTCGATTAACCCTTGTATTCCTTTTTCTTTTGTTCACGTCACTTATATATATACCGATGTTTTTCTATAAATAAACGAGCCGGTATAAACCGAAACATTGCTCCGCATACACCACTCTAACAACAATATAAACAAATTATACAAAATGAAACACAATAGTCAACGGAAAACATCACATCTACACAATGAATTATTGACGAAGCAACTTCGATGTCAGTTGAACATATTTTCGTTTATTCATTTTCACAGACTTAATAAATATTGCATGCATGGATTTTCTTTGATTAATATGATCAAATGCTAAATTCGGATTATCTCTTCACTGTTTCATTGCTTATGCGTTGATTTAGATGTGCAACAAGTTATATGTATATTCATTGAATTTTGTCATACTTAAATGTCAAACAGTAAAGAAAAAATTGGGTCATTAGTCAATCAATTATTGATTCAATTATCAATTTTAAAAAATGTTCAAGAAACAGATTTATTTATATTTTAAAAAGAGAAAAATATAAAAATACGAATGAAACAATATAGTTTTGTAGTTTTACACTATCTATTACGCATCTATTGGTCACACATATCGGAATTAACATCGTAAAATTGTATTAAATCATTTTATTACTTTTTACGATTATTGATTGAAAATGAAGTATTACTCAAATGGCATAATATGATAAATTCAAGCAAGCTAAAAATTAAACCATACTTCATATGTATTTAACGTAGGTATGTAACTTGGACTTATGAGATCAGAATTTTAGCTGTGCTTATATCGTTGTTTTGAAGAATGTGATAAAATATTTTATTATGATGATAGTGTTTGATAGAATCATCTCATTGATTAATTTTTTTGCCAAAAAATAATTTCAAACATTGATTTTCTTAAGATCAGTTACTTGTTTCTATAGGAGCTTCTAAGATATAAGCGAGTACGGTTAAGTGAAGCAGCATATTATTGCCAAAATAAAGAGTTTTCACGATTGAAATTGATGTAGTTTCATTATTTGTCTTTTTTTCTATCTATTGTTTATGGAAAAAAAATACTCTTTGATTTATTGCAATATATTATTCGAAATTAATTTGATATTGATTCTTATCATGAACTGATACTATTGGAAAAGTAAAGAATATCACTAAACGAAATTAGACATTGTTTAAAGTTGATTATCAATAAATTGGAACACGAATTATATGTTGGAATTTCATCCTTAAATTACTTTGCTCTTATCTGTTTCAATTGCCAAATTATACTTCATGGAACAACAAATTGTTTATTTAACAACATTCATGATATGATAAAGTAAGAGATCTTAGCAATTTTTCTGTCGCCTTTGTTCACTGTTAGAAAAAAGCATTCAAAATATTCATGCAATTAGATCACACATAAATTGTAGCAAACTATATATTAGGAAAAGTCATATATTTAAATACTATTGACTAACATTTTATATGGAAGATTCTAATATTTGTTAAGACAAGATAGTAAACAGGAAGTAAATATTTTCTTTTATTTCTAGCTAGAAATGGAATTTTACATTACATCATGAAGCAACAATATAATATTGGCCTGCTCTATTAATGATAATTCTTCATGAAATATCTCATATTATATGTCGCTTCGAAATTCCTGTAGCAAACAATAATATGTCTGCGACAATGCCTGAAAACCTGTCGAATGAAAAATGTATTAAAGAAACTGACAATCAATTAGAGTTTCTGCTATATGAAAATATTATAAAATCTATTGATGATCTTATTACTGTATACTGATTCAAAGAGATTGATTTTGGTAAATATGTGATGAATTTGATCTTTTGGAAGATAGAAAACAGCAATATAGTGATTGAATTACTGCTCATACTTGTACAACCTATGTATATATTGGGGGGCAAATTTAGAATAATGGTTCTGACCAGACAAAAATTCGAATTCCAATATGGATCAGTGGTTTTTTTTTCGGGCAGAATTGAAATTCGAATTCTGCTCGAACAAAATTAGAATTCGACTAAAAATAAATTCATATAATCACACGTTTTACTAAAAGTAGAGTGGAATGACAAAAAAAGAAAAAATTTCAATCATAGAGGTCGTGTCAATAAGTAGCATAAATATGGATGTACGCGTTACAATCTAATATCAGAATGTCTGAATGGGATTCAACAGTTGGTCGCCCACGCGATTGTAAAAGGCAAGTGCGATACAAAACAATACTCATGTAAAAAAAAAATAGGAATTTTTTGTTTGACAAAATGTCATACCAGGCGAGGCGGTTGTACGCATCTCAGTAAATAGATTAAAGTACTTTCACTTGTTAAATGTTTACGAAAATAACAATTGTTATTCTAGTCAAATTTGATTCATATTGGAATTCTAATCTTGTCTGGTCAAAACTAGAATTCCAATTTTGTCCCCAACATGTATCAGCCTCACTCATATTTCTCGGATGTATCATTTGAAGGTGTAACACTAAACTTCTTTTCATCATACTTGACAAATCTCATTTTCTTTTCGCTTTCAAATCTCTTTATGTGAATTTTCATGACAGATTCAATATCAGCATTCAACATTAATAAATGATCAATTAAAGTATAGCTATCAGCATATTTCATTCACTTTGTATTATTGATCTATTATCTGTTTTTGATATAACTCGAAAAAAAACAAATTCATAATTAAATCAATGATGAAAACAAACCTATTACATTTTAATTCAATTATGATCGAATGTTTATCGATACCATTCAAATTCTCAAACTCAACAATAATTAGACTTTTTTGTTGCATATTTTTAGTATCTACTTCATGTACAGAATAGAATGTGCGTCAATTTTTTTTCTGTTCTCACTAAATGTGTCTATAGTTTTGTATTTTTTCTTCTATTTTCTTTATTCTCATGCATAGATTATTCTTTTTTTTTTTATTTCACGAAAGAGAGTGACAGAAGAACAGGCCGTCATTTACTGTTGGTTTACTAGTAGAAATAGAGAAACAAATAATATAATTTACATAGTTATTTAGGACAAAAAAGAGGCGAAGAAGTTGTAGCTGTTGTACGTTTTGGATAAGATTTCAAATATTCATCTTCACTTAATTGTAAAACATCGGGACGATCACGTACTTGATAAGTCAAACATCGACGAATAAATGATTTGGCTTCATTGGATACTTGAGGTCGATTAGGAAATTGAATTTCTTTAGCATTTAAAATTGTTTGATTTTCTAATATAGCTGCTTGAGATAAATTATGACCGTATGGTTTTCGACCATATAAACATTGATAAAAGATGCCTAATAAAAAACAAACAAAAGATTTTAATTCATTAAAAATGAAATCAACTAATGAAACTTACAACCAACACTCCAAACATCAACTTTGGATGAAATCTTAGGAGGATTAGGACCTTGAACAAATACTTCTGGTGGTAGATACCAATAAGTACCGGCACCTAGAAAAAAAATAAATATTAATAATTAAATTTATTATCTATTTAATATTTGTTTACCTTGAGATGTAAGATCCATTCCATCATCAGCATCGAATTTATCTTCATGCATTTGTTTAGATAAACCGAAATCAGTTATTTTAATTTCGCCACTATTATTTCCTCTTCCCAAAAGAACATTCCCTGGTTTTAAATCATAATGAATCTAAAATAGTGAAAAAAAAAACAAAAAATTTTCATTTCGTTTTTTTGTTTTTTCTTATAAGAATTAAATAAAACATACCACAGGTGGTTTTATTTCTGAATTAAGATATTTCAATGCATTAATTGTTTGCATAATGATTGAACGTGCTTCTTTTTCTGGAATTGTTTTATTTTGTTTAAGAAAAAAATCTAAATCATTTCCATCACAATATTCCAAGACTGTACAAAATGAATTAGTATCAATTTCAAATACATCAAATAATTTCACAATACCTAAACAAATATTCTTTACTTATTGATATATAAATATGTATAAAATGGATATCAAAATTATTCAATAAAATTTTATTTTCAATTTTTTATACTGTCATAAGCATTAGAAAGATTCCAAATAATAATTCGAATAGAGAAAACTATTTCCAAAAAACATGTAAAGAAATAAAAATTCTTTGTCAGATTTTCAAAGATATGAAGGTTTCAGAAAACTAAAATCCTAGTTTTTCAGCATCTAAAGTATAGTTTTATTTCAACTACATAGAACGCTAGAACAAATCATTCTATACAAAATAGATGTCTCAGAGTTCTCTACGACATACTGCTGTATCTTAGCTAGAAAACTCAGAGATGTCTCATTTTGTAGAGGATGGTTTTCTCTATCGATCTATGAAGCCTAAACAAAATTATATTTACGCATTTTAGGTGGTGAAAAACTAGGGTTTTGATTTTTCTGAAGTCTTTATCTTTGAAAATCTGATAATAATTTTTATTTTCTTATATTATTGTTGAAAAAAAATTTCTCTACCCGAATCACTATTTGAATCCTTCTTAGCGCTCAAGGCAACGAAAAAATATTGAAAATACACCTTGTTGAATAATTTTTGTACTCACTATATACATGAATAGAAAGAAAAAAGAAACTTACGTTTATTTTCTAAATGTTTATGTATATTATATTCTCTAACAGCATGTTTAATATAATTAACTTTTTTTTCATCTTTCCATTCTTTATTTAACTGATGAATTTTACATGCAACATAACGTTGTTCACGTAAATCAAATGCACGATGTACTTCACTAAAACCACCTTTACCAATCAATGTTAATAATAAATATCGTTCATTAAGTATATTATTTTTATTAAATCTTGAATGATCTTCATTATATAAACGTTTTAATTCTCTTATATGAACATTTCTTTCACGATCAAGTTTTTCTAAATCTTGTGCTAAATCACATTCTTCACGTTTAAGTGTTAATTGTCGAAGACGAAGTACTTCATCATATTCATACCAATCTTGTAATGTCATTATTGATGATGAAGAATTCGAAATAAGAGATGATGATGATGATGATGAATTGCCACTATCAATAGGTGTATTATTATCACTAGAATATAGATAATGACCATCATTTGAATTATCAGAAAGTGCTTGAATTTGTTGATGTCCAATGAATGATGACGATGCATTTGGTTGAAGTTTTTGTTGACTAAAATGAAAAGTACTATTTTTTTTTTCTTTTCTTAAGTAAATCTATTAAAGATTCATCAATATATTTATTCTATTCAAACAAATAGACAAATAGAATAATTATGTTTTACTTTTTTCTAATTATTCAAAAATTATAATTCATTTTTTTTTTTCATTTCTAATAATTTCTTAAATTTAATATAATTCGCTATATAAAAATTGACATACTTAAATATATTGTCTGTTAGAACAAAATGAAGAATCATGTAAAAAATTGAAAAAAAAAATTTACCTAGTCAATGTTTTGGTAGTTGGAGTTTTATTTGTTCGTTTAGAAGATTTCGTTGGTGGTACGAACACCGGATTAATAAAATCTTGAGAATTCGAACTACTATTAAGAGTAATTGTCTCATCTGCTATAGTTGCCATCATTAATTGATGTTGTTGTTGTAAAAATGATTTCTTTTTAGTTAAATTTTTTCGTTCACGATCAAGATTTTCTTTTGCACGAGCTAATTGTTCTTGTGCACGTTGTTTATCCAAAAAATCATAACCATCAACCCATTGTTCAACAAATGATGTACCTTGCCGTTGTGTAACAAATTGACCAAGACGTAAACGATTTTCCATGGATTTTTCACGTGCTTCTTTTTTTTCTAATTGAGATTTTTCAATAAGTAATGAACGTGTCATAACAAGACAACGTTTTACTGTTTCAACAGTTGATTCATATTCACGTTGAGTATCTAATTTTGTACGACGTAATTCATCGATTTCAGCTGTTAATTTTTGTTGTTCAATATCAAGATGATGATGATGATGATGATGACTAGATGTAAACATTGAGAATGAAGGATCAGTTTGAGTTATTTTACTATTGTTAAGAAACATCACAACTGAACCGTCGAACGGTGTAACTTTTGGAAAAAACATTGTTAAAGGAGTTGATCGTTTCGCTGGTATTGAAGGTGTAAGAAATGATGATGTATCATTCATTGGTTGTTTACGTTTACGAGGTGTTGATATTTGAGTTATATTTGTTGAATTTGACATTGATGATGAATAAGGTGGTGTATTTTGTATTTGATATGGAGTTGTAAGATATGGTTGAAATGGAATTGGAGATGAGGATGATATTTGTTTTGGATATGATGAACACGATGATGATGATGATATTCCAGTTACAGCGACATTTGATGACTTCAAATGATTATCTCTTTAAGAATAGAAAAAGAAAACAAAAATAATTAATTAATAAATATTCTTTTATATTCTCTTGATAATAAAAAAAAAACATCAATTCTTATCAATCAATTAACCTTTTCTTTTTTTCTCATTTTTTTTAAAACAAGAATAAATTATTAAAATTTAAAAAATGTTTATTTTACAACGTTTTTTTTTCGAGTATGAGAAATAATAAAGTCTACATAAATATTATACTTAAAGATGATTAAAATTTGAATTTTAAAATAATAAATAGAAAAAGATAAATATATGTTGTGCTTTTATCGTATATTTTTGTTCTATTTTCCGATAAGCCAATAAAAATGACTTAAGATAGACATATATAAATGCACTTAAAATACATTTTTTGCTTTATCATATTCTATATTCGTCATGAAGGCTAAGAAAAAAGGACATTGACAAATAAGACATACGTTAAATGAGGAGTGATTGCTTGATCTTTTTGTTGTAAATATGTCAGAAGATTTGATGTTGTTGGTCGATGAAATATCTGACAATCGTCTTGATTTTTATTATAGATGCCAGTCAAATTAGAAGTTGAGTTTGCTGGCCAATGAACAAGTGGATAGTGAGACTCAGGATTAGTCATACCAATGACGACAAACTAAAATACATATAAATGAATATAGTTATGCATATAATATATATGCACACAAGGCTATCATCATCATCATCAACAACAACATCATTATTGCTGTCGATAAAAAAAAACGGGAATGGTGCGCCAGTAAGAGAAGATCATATGGGAGAGAGAAAGACGAAGAGAGAAGGAAAAGAAAGAAAGAAAAAAAAATGTAGGATCATATGATGGATGTATGTGTGTCTGTCGTGACAAGGCAGAACACAACGCAAAATGAGAAAGAACGTGAGGGAGGGAAACAATCATCACATCAACATAAGAGTAGCAGCATACAAACTAGTCTAAAAACACATATAAAGAGAAAAAGACAGCAATGTCGATAAGCACAACTGCTGTTATAATGGGAGAAAAAAAATGGATGAATGACGAGCGACAAATATAGAAAGACCAAATCATCGAATAAGAAAAATGTTGAAAACAAAAAAAAAATAAAATTTATAAATACAATGTCTACCTTTGATAGTTGCCATCGTCATGACCGTGTCTTCTTTTCAATATACTAAGATAATTGAAGTAACACGGACAATGAAATGCAAACGGAATATATTCCTAATCGTCGCATTACCAAGCAAACGAAATGCCAGAAAACAACAACAATAACAACAACAACAACACGTATGTATCGATTTATGTAATCTAGAAAAAATACCATAGCAATCGTTAGATATTCAATAAGATAATTTATCAAAACTTTTATACAAAAACACGGAAATGAAAACACAAAAAAAAAAGATAAATTCTTTTTTCGTCTACATATATATATGTATATTTAAAACGACGTTTGTTTTTTGTTTATACACATCTGTTCAGTTAAGAATAAAAAGTAGAAAAAAAATATCACAATAAAACGAAAAAATGTAATCAATCACCGGTCTACAAAAACACGTTGTGGTAAGTACATTGCATAAATAATATCCGAATTTTGTAATATTAATGTTTCTGTTTGTGATGAATAAATTAATTTTTCAATATTCATTTCATTTTCATCACGATTAATATCATTTAAAAATGGAATTATAAATTGTTTTGTTGATATTTTTCTTTGATTAAATATATCATATATAAATAGAGAATTTAATTTTGTATAAAATAAATAATTTGTACGATGTATTGTAAAACAATTTGATGTTATATCATTTAATTCATAAATAAGTTGTAAATTTAAATATGTCCATATACATAAACGTTTATCTGTACCAAGACTTATTATATTTGATGAATGACCACAAAAATTTAAATCAATTATTATTGATGATGGATGTGCATTTATATTTGTTTGAATAAGATCATTTCCTTTCCAAATACACAATGTACCATTAAAACAACCACTTACCAATGTTGTTGGATGATACTAAAAGTTATGGAAAAGAAAATAATAAAACATTTATAATAATATCAAATATAAGAGAAATGAACAAAAAGAAAAAAAGTTTTATCCAAGGTAAATATGAGACAAAAAAAAAACTCTACGTAAAGGCTTCCGTAGATTGCAAAGTATTTCACGTGTGACTTAAAATGGAAGTCTTTGTTATTTTTTCCTTAGGGTACACTTACAAGAGTTCAAGGTTTTGATTTTATATAAACTATTCACAAGGACTATTGAAAATGAATCCGTATATGAAAACCGAACTTTTCAAACTGTTTGCATTCTGAATCTAAGAAAGATGGTCGAATCATAAAAAAAAACAGAGTATACAATGTTAGATTTTTTGTCTTTCTACTAAAATTCTATCTTTTAGAACATCAAAATTTGTTCGAATGATATACATATAACTTATTAATATGGGCCATTAATAAAAAAAAAACATATTTATTAAGTTTCCTATTGAATTTACAATAAACTCTATTTAAAAAAACAAAACCACATAATAAATCATTTGATAGGAAAATTTTTTAAAGTACTAATAAAATGCTGATAACTATAAAGAAGACTATTCGATAGGGCGGCATGTCAAATAATGTAATACAATCGACTATATGTAGTTTTCATAAAAATATTATTTTATTTCTTTTTGTAATATAATTTTCTAAAATTTAACTTACTGGATCAAGTGCAAGACAATTAATAGGTGATTGATGTTTTTGTAAAGTATGTAAACATGAACCATTTAAAACATTTATAATTTTAATTGAATGATCATCACTACCAGTAAATAAAAGTGAAGAATTAAAATCAATTCGACAAACACGTATTGGCCATTGATGTAATCTTTTAATATAAATTTGTTTTATTAAACCATTTATATATTCAAATGCAATTAAATAACCACGACGTGTTGTACTTATAATTAATATTGATGATGCTCGTATAAGATGTGTTATACCACCAAGATCATTATGACATAATATTAAATTTTTTGATAATGAATTATATGGATAAATTTCTATTTGACCATTTGAACAACCAAATAAACATCGATATTCATCGATCATTAATGAACACCAAACATGATTGATGACTTTTTCATTTGATATTATTGAATATCTTTGTTGTGTAAAAATAATATCACCTGTTTGAGGATTCCACATACAAATTGAACCATCTGAATATGCTACACTAACAACTGTACCACTTTCATGTATACATATCGATTCAATTAATAATGTTGATGATGAAGGTATTAATATTGTTGGAACAATTGAATAATCACTTTTTATATAAGATAATATTCGATTATGATTTGAATTCAATGAAAATGATGATGAAAAAAACCAAAAATAAACAATAGTAAATAATGTTAAACCGAATAAAACAATAAAAAGAAGTTCCCAAAGTGCTGTTGAAAATCGACGATCAATCAATAAATTACTTGTACTTGTTATTGTTGCATCAATTAAAGGCCGATGTGATGTCTACAAATATATATGTACATATATCACCTATCATTCATGAACTTTCGATTTATGCATAAGGACAAGTTTAGTTTAACTATTCCATAAAGTAACATCTAAAATTATTATAATAGAATTGATTTACTTATTTCGAAATAGTCGATTCTAGAGTACTATTTAAATTTAGAATTTTTAATAAAAGATCTTTCCAAAATCGGATAATTACATTCATGATTATTATAGATTTCTTTGTCTTTTTATGATAAAAAAATGATATTTTCGAAACTACATTTTACATTGTTTTATGCTTGAAAATCATAACAAATATTCAACAAAAAGAATATAGGTTATCTATGATTTTCTGTCATATTTGATGAGGTTACGATGACTTAAACCAGTTGTTTTTTGTCCTTCACGTTATCTATAGTTTATTGCAATTGTGTATTAAAACACCACATCCAATACTAAAATCACGTGCGATTTGTTATGAAGAATCCTTAGGATGTGATCTACATGAGAATTGTATTTGTAGATAGACATAGACAAACTACTCCGAGTTCTATTCTCATTGAAAATGGGGCTGATGCTAGGGTATTTTTTTATCGGAACCGAAATAATTCATCTTATTCATGTCTATTTGAAAATACAAAAAAAAAAAAGAAAGAATAATTATGATAACTGTAGAAAATAATTTTAAATTGTATGCTAATAAAATTTTTACTCAGTTCAATTTCAAAACTCAATCTCATATTGAGTAGTACTGTGACCAAGAGCACAACGTTATTTTTTTGACCCCGACTAAAAAACAAAAAGAAAACAATAGTCCAACTCATGTCTCAGTACAAATATAGATATATACATTCATTCTTTCTCTTTCTATCAGGTAGTTTCAAACGTTTTTTTTTTTTTGTTTTGCTTTAATATTGCATTACATCACTTATGTATATGTCATTCTTAAGCTAATTTTAGATATAAAAATGTCTACTATTTCTATATAATAGTTGTCTATTTCAATGTCACAATAAACTTCTTATACACAGGTATATAGTACGAATACAAGATGACATAGATTTAAACTGATTATATGAATAAAACGGTTATAGCTTGGCTTCAAAGGTCTATGGGGGACAAGTCCTTTTAGACTTTTGCTAATCTTACGAAGGCGTCTTTGTAGGTGAAATATGAGTTTATACAGTTAGTATCACTTCAGGTAGTTTCTTCGTTAACAGAAAAGTAAATAATGATGAAAATTCATTCGATTAAATTTCAATATTATTTCTATTTTTGTTTATATTAAAAATAAACATAAGATATTTACTTTATAATACGAAGCTTTTGTTGTCATATCTAATTTTTGATCTTCAGAAGAAATAATTGGTAAATAAATTGATGGCATTATAGTTAAATAACGATTATCATATGAAATATTATAAAAAGAAAATAATGTTGACCAATGATCATATGATAAAAGTGTTTGCCATTCATAATTCGATAAAGATATATTATTCATAATTTGATCGTCGACATTATGATGTGAATCATATTGATTAGCAAATGATGAACCATAATGTTCATTAAGCATTTTTTCTGGAACAAAATCTTTAATTTGTTCTCGATTTATTTGTACTTAAGAGACAAAAAAAAATCAAAATAATTATTAACCAAATTTTTGTATTATCTCTTACCATTTTTATGAAGTAAATCAACAATTAAACATGATTTATAAAAAATAAGAATAACCCAAATAAGTACAATAAACATACTTCCTCGTTGTAAAACTCTATAACGAGCCCATTGAGATTGTTGTTGTTGTTGTTGTTGTCGTTTATTTATTAAATAAGGCATTTTCATAGGTAATGATACTTTAAGTTCTTTTTTTTCTTGTTCTAAATTTCTATTTTTCTTTTTTCCAACACCAACTGTAAATCTTCGTATATCAATACTTAAAACTGCTAACCAAAAATTAATTTGCATGAAAAAATCAATTAAAATTCCAATTAATGCTAATTGACAAAATTCTCGAACTGTTGGAACATATGTTATAAAACCAATCATAACAATAATTAATTCATAAACTAAATGTTTTGATATTGTCCATGATTCAGCACGAAGTGCATGTGCAACACGTTCACGTATATCATCATATTGTTTTTGTGCTTGTGATGATGTAACAGCACGTGTTAATACAACTAAATTTTCTAAACCAATAAATATAACTAAATATGGAAATACTTCACCACCATCAAGACGTGGTGTCATATGAAATAATGATGATAATGCTAATGATATTAATAAAGAAACAACAATTTGTACTGTTGCTGCTAATGCAAGACCCCATTTTGATTTTACACATTCGAATTGACCTTAAATTAAAAATATGATTTTATTGTTTCTTTTTTTTTTTCTAAAGTCGAATATACAGAAAACATGATGTTGACGATTGGGTTGAGTTTTCTCTCTCAAATTTCTACTTGTGTATAGCCTTTCTTCCAGAGGATTTTTTGTCAATTACTGTTTAGCAGATTTCTTGATTTTTGATAACAAAAATGTTCAAAATAGACAATTTTTTCAAAAGATTTTATGAAAAATTAGCTGTTTTTTTTGATAAAGAGGTCGCTTTTACTACCCTGTTCAAAGAGAATGAGTCACTTCCTCTGTTAGAAAAGAAATAATAAAAGCAAAATTTTTCTTTAGAAATTCTATGACATAAATCTGAATTTTTTGTCGTCACGAATAGTGTTATTAATTAATATAGACATTTGTAGTAATGTTTAAAAAAAATTTCTTTTTTTCAAGTTTAGAAAATTTTATATTAGAAAAAGAAAAATACCATGAAAAAGAACGTAACAATAAGAAAGTAAATCGAGACATCCTTGAAAAAACGTAGGCGAAGGTCGAAACATTTTACAAGTCGAATATCTATTTTTGGATTACAATGATGAATCACTCAACCATTAGAGTCTGTCGAATATAGATAAGATTCTAAAGAATTTTCTTTTTATTCAATAAATAGAAATAGAAAAATTTATTGTATATAAAATATTTTCTTAAATTCGTGCTCAATGATTGTCTTTATTCAGTTTTCTGTATATCTAATATTCATATTTAAATAATTAAGAAAATTTTAATTAAATACTTACTAACTGAATAATAAATATAAAGAAAAACAACAATATAAATAAGTATCAATGGTAAATAATAAAGAAGAGATTTTCTTGAAAAATAAATATGTATTATATCATCTTGTTGTTGTTGTTGTTGTTTTGATTCATCTAAAGCAAATAAACGTTTTTTTAAATCTTGTCGATATTCATTTGATGCATTATTTAACATAAGTGTTATTGCATATGTTAATGGTTTATTTGATGAAAAATATTTTTGTGGAATACCAAATATAATATCAACATAACGTTTTGATAATGATGATATTGATTCAAGAATTTCATGTTCATTATTTTTTATATTTGATATATCATTTGACCAAAGATTTAATGGTGAAAGAATAAGACAACCAAATGATGGTAAATATGATATCATTTGTTGTACATTTATTGGTTCACCAACTCGTAAACAATTTATATCAAATTGTGGATCAGAAAAAAGACGATCACGAATATCACGTGCACGTAAAAAACATGATGAACGAGATGTTAATATTGAACATCGTACAACAATATGTTGAACATAGGCAAGTGGATAACCAGAATACTTCAAAATATTTACATTAAAAAAGAAAAATCTATGTATTGAATTTTTGTAATTGAACTTACCCATAATGGTTTATCTGGTTGTTTGTCATGTAATTGATCACTTGTATTTAATTCTAATCGAGCACGAACAGGTCGAAATGATCTAGATGATTCAGCAAAAATTTCTAATGTACTACCAGGTGGTGGAACATTAGTAGTTATTTGAAATCTATAGAAAATAAATCATTTATGAATATTATAATAAAATAATTTATTTCTTACAAACTAAGAAGAAATATACCAAAACAAATTAGTATAATATAAAGTGAATGATCAGCAACAAAAAATCCATATGCATACGATAAATCAAGTACACGATTCTAAATAAAGAAATAAAAATCTTATGATAAAAAAAAGTCATAATTTACTTTAAGATGAATATGAAGTTTTAGCAATGCACGATACATTTATATCTAACATAATCAAGAGGAAAAGAAAAATCAAGTTCGATTGCAATATAATACACTGTTACACTTAATTAGTATATTATATGCATTAATCTGTATATAATATAATATATCGAGATTGAAATTCAATTGGAATTGTAAATCAAGTTAATACTATGATATAATTAATACGTAGAAAATAGATGAAACCAGTAGTTTAGTATTAAAAACAAAAACAACAGAATGAGAACAATGAATCAAAAAATTGATTGACAAATATTTCTATTGGTTAAGATTTCTTACCAATGTTAGAATATTTCATCTAACCCTCAAATAAAACAAAACAAAACAAAACAAAACAAAATTTTTATTTTCTATACGTGGCAGAAGAATAACTATGGGTCACCAATAATTAACTTCCGTATTTTTAATGGCAGATCTATTACTAAGCAGAAGTAATATGTACAAAACATCTGTTACTACTAATATACATACTATATCATACTTCTGTTGAATAGAAATAACACTTTGTTTTCAATATGCTAAATAAATTTATACGTAGACAAATAGTAAATATAATTTATTCGATTGTGTTAGAATATTTTACTTATTTCTTCTATCCTTGAGTTTTTCTTTGACTGCATAAGGAAAAAAACAGAGGATACACTCTACTTATGACAAAAAAAAATGTGTACATGTATATTTTACTAATATAAATCGAGTGTATGAAAAACACATTGTTTAGGACTTCCATTTAGAAACATTGATAAACTTATCATCAACTAAGTATTTATTTTAAGATTCTATATTTCATTTGTTGATATTATTATGACAAGTGGCGGTGCTCCTACTGCTGGTGGTACTGGAGGTCCATCGCTTTTCGGTGGAAAGAGTAAAATAATGGCTGTTATTGGTGATGAAGTTAGTTGAATTGTTTTCTTTACTTTTTATTTTGTAATTTTATTTGTTTGTTTTTTCAAAAAAAGGATACAGTGACTGGTTTTTTACTTGGTGGTATTGGTGAAATACATGCTAAAACACGTAAACCAAATTTTTTAATTGTTGATAAAAGTTCGTTTTAAAAGATATTTTTTTAAAAAAAATTGATTTATTTTTATTTTTTAATTAATATGTATAGATACAAAAATATCGGATATTGATGAAACATTTAAAAGTTTTCTTAGTCGTGACGATATTGGTATTATTCTTATTAGTCAATATGTAAGATAAATTATTTATATTTTATTGAAAAATTTCAATGTTTTTTTTAATTTTTATTTTGTTCTTTTGAAAGATTGCTGAAATGATTCGTGGAACAGTTGATGGTCATGATAAAAATCTACCTGCAATATTAGAAATTCCAAGTAAAGAACATCCATACGATGCTAGTAAAGATTCTATTTTACGACGAGCACGTGTAAGTTTTTCAATGAAGAAAAAAAATATTTAAATCAATTTTCCGGTTTTCTTTTTTTAGGGTATGTTCAGTGTGGACGATTTCAAATAAAAGAAAAAAAAAACAATATTCTACAATTCATTTGCATTTATGTTGTCGTCTATTCCATTTTATTTATTGTGTTTTTATTTATATCAATAGATTGAACATTATATATAAATATCTATTAATGTCAGGAGATTAATATATTTTATGATTTTTCATTTTAATTAATGAGAATTTTCTTTTTTGATGAAAATTAAAATCAGACAAGAAAAATGTTCTTTTTGTTTAATTATTTGATAGGAGATTTCTGTATAAAAGAAATGTGTTCTAGTTCATCTAAAAAAAAACATGAACAAGAAAACAGAACAATGCTGAATCTTCTATGGATCGATTATGATCAATCTATTTTTTTTTATAGATTTTTCTATAATAATGTCGTTAGATACATTATCAATACCACCAGTTAATTGGTCTTTATTTCTATTTAGTAGTTTAATAATATGTCTTCGAGCATCTGCATCATTGATATGTTCATGGATTTTAAATAAATTTTATTCTCCATCTACAACAATTGATGCACTTAATGATGACTTAAAACGTATAACACAAGAATTAAAAACACTTTCTCAACAAGATGAGTTTGCTGCTTATACTCGTAAAGAACGACAACGTACTGCACTTATTGAACGTCTTAAAAATGAACGAAATAATATTGAAATACAACAAAAAAGTATATTAAATTACATTCGAATGATACTCAATATTGGAACTATTTTAATTATGATTATCTTAACACTAAAAAGTCGACAACATGATTCAATACCATTATTTAATTTTGCATTCTATCGTTTTCCATTAATTATTTGGATTATGGCATTAAATACATTTGTTTCTACAGTTACAGATATTTATCTTAGATATCAAACAAATAAAAAAAGTACAACGAAATAAATACAAGGAAAAAAAGAACAAAAGATGTTAAATGAATATTTGTTTTTATAATGTAAAATAAATGAAACAACAAAACAAAACACATAATTCAATAAGATTGCTATCAATGAAAGTATTTATTTATTCAAAAAAAAATAAATAAATAAATCTCGAAAAGTACGTTTACAATAAGTTTCAATATTTTCATAAATAAAACGCATTGATTCTTGTTATGTTTTTCGTTTAACTATAGTTGTCAAGTATCTTCTTTCAGAATCAATTGTCATTATTTGTAGAAGAAATAAAATCATTAATAAACTGAGAAGGAAAAGTTGAACCATTTCTATAGAAAAAAAATATGTTTACATAAATGATGTTAGTCAATCTATTAATTGCGTATAGTCAAGCACGAAAAAAAAAACAAAATATCTCCACATATTTTATTTACCTTTTCATAAAAGCTATTTCAAGATTTTCATTAGATTTTGCTAAAGCTGTTTGAAATGCCCAATAAAAAAATTGTTCAAGTTGTTGTATTGATGTATTCTAAATATTTAAAAAGATAAAAAATATTCAAAAAACAAAATTTAGATGAAATTTACATCGGGTATTGTTATTGATGGTGATGATAAAACAAAATTTGGTTTAGGTGCTGGAACAAAACTAACATGTCCATCAACTGTTAATTCATGTAAACCACCAAAATGTACTAATTGATGTTGTTTACGCCATTTAGCACGACGATTTTGAAACCAAATCTTATGGAAAAATTGAATAAAGATATGAAAAAATAAAGAAGAAACAGAAAAATCAAACTTGAATTTTTTTATCAGGAAGTTTAGTTATAAGAGTAAGATGTTGACGAAGAGATAAATCTGGATAATGTGTTATTTGATCAAAAACATGTTCTAATTGACGAATTTGTTCAAGATCAAATACACTTCGTTTTCTCTGTCTTTTATTATTATTATTATTAATTTCAATATGCTTAGTATTCTCGTTGTTCGTCATGATTATTGCTTTGATAATAATCGATTCATCTTCTAACCGTTCTCTTCATATAATTAAGTCATAAAGATAAGATATATATGGGTAAACTTACAGTAAAAGAATTCAATTGTGCTGCATTGAGATCGTAAATCATCACACCATGTTATAAAATCATTCGTATAGATTAGTAAAATAACGTCAATAGATTAAATCTCAATGTTAAGTTTATGATTTTTAGAAAAAAGAAGTAGTGAGATAGGGATATAGTTATTTGAATAAGTGTTTTTTTTTAATAGGTACGTCTGAAAGGTTATTTACTTTTATCAATAGTTTTACATATCAATTATAAGATCGATTTCGAAATCTTTTTGTTTTTTTTTTCCAATATTGATTCTTGTTGTTACAATGTCTTCTAATTTCAAAAGTTTCAAATTTCATTCGCTTTTTACATATTTTGACAAAGTTTGTATTACGAAAAAAAAAAAAAAAGAGAATTTTATCAAACTTTTTTTAATAAAATTTTCCTATCAAGATGAATGTTATTAATAGTTGTAACATATGTTTTTGATTGTCTAAAATATAAAATCACATCAATCATACAATAATAAGATAAGAGTATCGATTCAAAATTTTTCAATAGTAACTCATCTAAGAATTTATCACAATGAAAACAGAATAAGAATCAAATCTTGACGATCTTTCCAATCGAAATAATTATTTTCAAAAATAAAAAACTACTGTATTTGATAGAAAACATTGTTGATTATATTTTCATCAACATTGTAAAGCCTTGTAAACAGAACATTACATTGTTCTTTTTTCTTCTTTTCATTAAAAAAAGTCGTTTTTTTTTAAAAGGATTTAATACGTTGTTTACATTTTATTATCTTAATTATTTATTGCCAAAAAATCAAGTAAATAAATGTTAGACATTTCGTGAAGAATACTTATTCTAAAAATTGTTTCTTTTTTAATCAGAATAGGCTCGTTAAAGTGGCTTCAGGATCTCATAGAAATAAATAGAAAAAACAGAAACGTTATTTTCCCTGAAAGAAATGCTTGAGTATTTCCATCTTAGTTTAAATATAGATAACCTAGTCTTTTTACTGTCAAATAAAGGCATGCTCATAGTTTATATTCATAAATAAAACAATGAAAAATATTCTCGTAAAATATTCCTCTTGACCCACATGTAAACTAGTCATCTGAATGGAATTTGAAAAATCTGTATGTTTATCGCTCTAATCTTAAATCAAAAGAACGCAATATCTTTAATTAATAGCCTAGAAAATGTTCATTTGATCCTAAGTTTCTCTGATAAGTATATACCTTATTAATTAATGTAATCTGAAAGTTTTATTGACATTTAAGTTCAATTATCCAGTGAGTCTTTTTTCTGAAAATATTGTTTGCTTTTATAACGAGTTAAACATCACAACTTTATACTTATGTCAAAAGTAATAATATCAAAAGAATATTTTTTATCGTTTCATTTATGATTATAAATAACTATAAGTATTTCTTAATTAGCAATCAAAACAAATTAATTTATTGAGTCAAAGTATAGCAGATATATACAAACTTTTCTCCTCAAGAAACTAGCTGTTAAGTCATTCTGTATTTATGTTATTAATCATAATATTGATTGATATGATAATGCATTATTTTTTATCAAACTTATATTTAAAAAAAAATTTTCTTATGTCTAAAATTATTTTCGGATCGGTTTCTTATGATTTTGAACTTTTCATTGAGCCTATTAATTTTACATTCTACATACATTAAATACTTTAAATATTTGATAAAGATGATTATAGTTCACAGATTGAAATTATAAAAAGTGTCAAATCTCAAATGATTTATGTGAAACAAAATCTTTTATTTTTCATATTAAAATATTGATTATCAAATTCCAAATTTGTTTACGCCTTCATCAATTTTTTTCTTGTCCATAATCGAGTCATACTCAAAATCGCGTACTTTTATATTGATTAATATTTATATGATGAACGTCAATTACTGTTATTTATCTTCTTTGACATACAATTTATGGTATCAGTTAGGTAGCATCACTCCATTCTTTTCTTTTTTTCGAACAATGAATATCCAAAAGTGACAAGAGAACCGAATAAATCATAAAAGTTAGGACTCATTACTCTATCAATTATCATTTTATAGTTTTCGTATCAATATTTTCTTCGATTAATAGAAAAACAAATGACAGATAATAGTAAAATTAAGCATTTAGACTGTTTGAAATTATCCAACATAAGATAGAAAACATTTAATATAATTTTTTGCCAAAACTAACCTTATTTTTGGTCTTCGAAAGAAAAAAACATACAAATCTTAGTTCTCACAAAGGTACCTAATGAAATATTTCATTATAAAAATAGTCATTGATAAGTTTTCATTAAATCTCTCAGTACTCGTATTTGATGTTAGAAGAAATTTCTAAGATGAATCTATTTATATAATATTCTTTTCTTTAAATTGATGCATCATTGTCGATGAATGAGTCTCTACTACACACACATTAATCATATGTTGTCATATAAGTACGTGACAATCTTAAATTTTTATCTGTCAGACAAGATATTTCTATGATTCTTTGATAGTAATATGAAGAAAAGACATGTAACATTGATTATCAATAACAAATAGAAATAGTTTGCTTAACAAATGCATTAAATAATTTGATATTTGATAATATGCGCAAGAAAATATCAATGTCATTTTTCTATGTTTATATTTAAAATATGCTTCATATAAATTATATTGATTTTAGAAAAAGAAATGATCAACTCAAGGAAAAAAACAATCATAGTCAATAAGTAAAACAAACAAAAAAAGCAACAAAAAGACGAAATGAGTTCACTAATGAATTAGTTACATTAATAAGACAGATAACAATACATTGATAATTTTACAATTCAGAATCAAATTTCATTTTTATAACTATAAAATGATCATTCTATATTATTTCAATTATGAAAGAAAGTATAGAATAGAATGTTTTGTTTATTTAATAATTAACTAGCTTTATATTTCATATCTTTTCTAAGAAATGAAAAGTTCATTTAGTCCAAAAAAATGGTAATATTAAAAGAATTATCATTCACGCTAGAATTCTGTCTCTACAAAGAAATAATTAAATCAACAGTGTGTATATTATCTTTCCAGATTCTCTTTTCACATAAGACAATTTGTTTTTATTAACGTTTCCAAGGAGTTTTTTTGTCATTATCTCTTCTAAAGAAATAAATAAGATGAAATACTTGAATTTTTTCTATTTAAATAAATAAAAAAGTAATATAACTCTAAAAACATTCACTGAAATCTATTGTCTAAAAAAAAAAAAGGATTTTTTTTCAAGTATTTTTCTATATCTGAATTTTTCAATACGATGATGAGTTTTGTGCAGAAAAATATGAAACATGTTGTTTTAAAAATGAATTCTTATAATTTTGTCTCTATATAGTTCATCAACAATACAATAATTGATAGAGAAAAAAAAGATATGACAAATACTATTTTTCCTTAGGTTTTATATTAATATTACAAATGTCTTTCATTTGTTATTAAAAATAATCTTCTATTCTCTTGTGAAGAGTATCAAATGATAAGAAAAATCTTAGTTGCATTAAATTAATGAACCATATCAACATGTATAATCTGTAACTATATAAATTTCAACACAATCATATAAGCAATTAATTCATATAACAATCTACACTACTAAAAATAAAAAATTAATATTTCTTCATTATAAGTATTTGATAAGGACAAGAGTTTTCTTTTTTTTTATTATATTATTAATAGGTTTATTTTTACTTTCAATAATCTTCCTATGTGACATCTTAACTTATTTAAATATTACTTGAAGAAAAGATATTATCATAAATAAGTTTTTTCTAAATATAGTAAATTATCATTCATCTTTAAAGTTATTCTTTCATCGATCTAATAAAAACTCAACAATCTTTATCAATTATTAATTGTCTAAAAAAAAAAGAATACTCGTTTCGATA